TCTCTCTCTCTCTCTCTGTCTGTCCTCTGATCTCTCTCTCTCTCTCTCTCGCGCGCTCTGTCCACCTGCTGCATTTGAACCTCCCCATGAGCAAGAAAAATGACCAGCTCAGTGGTGAACAGGAAATGTCAACTTAGCTTTTGTTTAATCGCACTCCCCGTCATCGCTCTGTTTCCCGCTTGCCACACCCCCCCTCCAACCTTCGTCCGGCATGGTTTTGGGATCCTTAAGCTGAGAAAGGACAGACTGTACTGAGACGCGGCGTAGTGATCAGGGGTGTGGGTGTCACTAAACTGGCTCCTGGAAGGAGACGGGATTGTTCGAGGAGGGGAGACCGAGGTTCAATGGGGATGGGAGTCTCATTAATATCAAATTCAGAGCGATCAAACAGGGAATTGTGTAGAGATGGGGGAGTGTCTGTGTGTGTGTGTCTGTCTGTGTGTCCAAGTTTGCTTTTGATAGTTTGATAGGGCTCTGTTCTCCTCGAAAGGCTTGGCTGTCTATGTCTGTCTCGTGGTATTTTCCCTACCTCTGAGTTATGAACGCTGGGTCCACACCCTGCCCTGTTGACAAGGCCATTCCCCCCCGCAAATCTGAACCAGTCAGCTCTCCGATATTAACCTTGTGTGTGTGTTTTTTTTTGTTCAAATGTAGGGGCCGGAATAGCATCAAAGGTTCCCCACAGTCTCCTGTAAGTATTAGAATGCACCTGCCAACGCCCCCTTCCCCTCTCTCTTTCTGCCCAGCACCTGCTCACTCTCTTCCTTCCTGTGTCTCGGTCACTCCCACACCATTATGCCCTATCACTCTGTTGGTCACTCCCTCGATCCCACCTCAAGTCTCCCGCTCCCTCGCGCTCACGTGCTCCGTGTACGGCTCCCGCTCCCTCGCGCTCACGTGCTCCGTGTACGGCTCCCGCTCCCTCGCGCGCACACAGACGCACAGTCTCCCACATCTCTGTCAGAAACACATATGCTTTTCCTCCGTGACGGTCCTTCCATCTCTCTCTCGCACGCGCTCCCCTCTGTGCCCCCCTGTCTCACGCGTTTCTCTCCGCGCCCCCTCTCTCGCACAAACATCTCCCTCTGTGACATGCTCACCCACATTCTGTCTGGCTCTCGCACTCCTTCTCTCTCTGTGTGTAACAGCTGTTTGAAATCATGACGTGCTGTCTGCTGTTTGTAGGTGTTTGAAGGAATCTATAACAATACCAGGATGCTGCACTTTCTGACTGCTGTTGTGGTAAGTGCCTTCTTTCTTGTCATGTGTTCAACACTGCACCTCTCTGAGAGTGAGAATCTAACCATCACCCCCACCCCCTTAGACATTCAATGGTGTTACCATCACTGAATTCCTCC